GCAGGCTTTTGTCTGCCGTCTGTCGTGTGAAATTTATTGTCTGCTGGTTGTTGTCTGTCTGCCTAGATACCGTTTGTTGACTCTTGATTACTTGGCTGTTGTGTGCCGGCTGTTGTCTGCTAGTTTGCTAGTTTGTATCTTCTGGCTGTACTCTGCAAGCTTTTGTCTGCCTTCTGTTGTCTGTCGGATAGTGTCTGTCGGCTGTTGTCTGCCGCTGTTGTCTTGAACACAGGATAGTACATTGCTGTGTAAACATAAAATAAAATAAAAAACAAACGTTTTAGGATTTAATCCTAGCAGAGGAATAAGCATGATCTTTTTAAATCAGGCTATAGTACAATCCATCTGCCTGGAATTAAAAAATTCTAAGTAATTCATTTAGCTCGCTCACTTTTCAATCGCTTAGGCATTATTTTTTATTTTGCCTATTGTGTGTGAATTAAAATGTATAGACTAATTCTTCTAAAAATTTTCTTTTGTCAGTTTTCTATTTTTGTACATATGTTGTCAAAATATAATTGTGTGACATAGACTATATTTATTCCATAATGTGCCTTGAGTTTACAAGACAACACAGGATACACCCAGTTGTTAGGGGTACATGCGTTAGCTGAGCAAAGGAGGGTCAGAAGACTATGGCGCATAGAACGGATCATAGAACATTAAATACCAATAAAAACTTATGGTGTAAAATGTCCTTAACCGGGAAAAACCATTTATATAAAAATAGTTTAGCTTATGAATAGAATTCAAACTAAATGGGATAGGACTTCACGACTTTTCCCCAGTGAGGAAAAACATTAAAATAACACAGAACCTTATACGTGTTTGCTAGGTCAAATAATAAATAATTTTTTTCAAAATAAATATTATTATGATTATAAAATTTTATTAACAGTCGATATCGATTTATATAGATAACAGAAATGTAGGATGTAGATGCTATGACCTACTTGTGACGAAACTAGCGTTTAAGATCAAACATTCGTACCTTATATTGAACATTAAATATTCAAGACGAAACAATTATATTATCTATTCATTTACAACAATTTAATTGTCTTTAAGTGGTATCTTTATTTCTGCAACATTAAGTGTATGACGAAATTAATTACATTGTAGAAATTAGATTAAAACTATTTGCTTTTAACAATATTAGCAACATTAATGAAAACAGTAATTTAAACAATACTGTTGCAACAAAAAATACCATATTAATGCCAACAGTAAAGCCAGAATTAATGCCAGCATTAACGACACCATTAATGAAAACATTAACGACAACACTAATGGCAACCTACCTTAAAACATTAGCTACAACATTAATTACAACATTCTTTTCATCTATGATTTCAACATAACACTTATTTTCAGCCGCCTTTACTTCCCTAATGTGTGTCAGATACCCATCACAGATGTGTGGATCCAGGACGTTCTACTTGCTTAAACTTAAACCCATGATTTGAAACAGCAAAATTTAAATTGGGTTTACTTTATATGTTTTATGGAAAGCTGCTAATAATAAAAATAAAAAAATACATTTAAGAAGTTGATATTTTATAATTGTTTTAAATTATAAAAGAAGTTGATTTCTAGAATAGAAGGCCAGGCTTTTTGTTGAAGTGTTGCATGTGTGAGGTACTTTGGCGTTTTATAGAAAGCTAGTCGTTAACAACTGCTATGGTATTACTGTAATGACAGACTTTTTGCTACACTATTCATGTTACTAGCATATCCATTCCATATTGGCAATTTTAAACTACTCGTTAACTCCACCAATATAAATAAAACAAAAGAATATATAATTCGGGTTTTATTGATTCAGCAACTTTCTAGCGGTTACCATTTGTAACTATTTCCTTTCTTATAAAGTTATCTATTCTTACACCTGATGGGAGTAGAAATACAAAGTATATTTTAAATACAAACTTTTTCGTTTTATATTAGTAAATGGTATGTAGGCCTACGTCTGTTAATTATAAAGAAAATAAAAAGTTATTGGCATAGGAAGTAAAATAGCTATTCTCACAATACCTTGCTATTTGAAAAAAAAACAACGTTACATCTAATTGTTCATGTCATTTAATTCATTAGTAAAGAAACAACTTTCTTTGACATAATATTTTACTTTTGTATTATTTTATGTTATGGTTTTGTGTTTCTTTAGCGCAAAAAGGGACTACGTAATAACAAGTTTATTGACATCAGAAATATATAAATGAACAATTTTTCAGATAGGTAACCAAGTTGTATCGCGTCCGTTTTTCATTCACCACGGTGTAGTGTCTCTGTCTCGGTTTTTAGAAACATTGTATTATTTATTGTACGATTCTTATCGTTGCTAGTGTCAAGAGCTGGGTTTTTTTGTTTTGTTCTTTTTTTAATGCTTGGCTTCATCGAGTTTCTCTATATAATATTTTGTAAATTGATCTATTGCAATGTTAAAACGAGTACGACTGTTTGAAGACCAACTAGTGTATATTTGTTTATAAGTCTACATCGCTCGATCACTAACAAACTGCAGGGAACTTTATTTTAAGAAGAGGCAATAACTGGCCCCATCATGTTTGACGAGACGCATTTGTTGTTAGTTGTTGCCATTGAAAAACATACGTTGTTGGTTAATTTCGACTTCATAGTGGGCGAAAAATGTATAATAAACATATAAAACTTAATTTTTGTAAATCGAAAATGTAATATTTTTAGATTCTTTGTTATATAAATTGCGAATTCCGAAAGCGTGAACATATTATTTATTTGTTTGTAGGCTACATTTCAAATCAATCTCTTTAACCCTAATTTTTAAACAGAAGTTTTATTATATAACGAAAAAAAATTTCTATTTTTAGTTACTTAAATGATAAAAACATCAATACATCTTACCTGAATTTAAGTTCCAAAAAACCACATAATGCAATTTCTATAACCACATGAATTTACATAATAACGCACACGATTGTAAAATATTGGTGGAAAATTAATCAAATATCGTCACAAAACATGCACAATACTCACGTTTTAAAAGATGTCACACCTCAGACAACAGGTATTTATTTTTTGAATAACTGATTTCGACTTAGCATGGTTCTGACCGCATTATCCCTTAATATGCTTCATTTGCATAAATAGGTGAACTCTACTTCACCTGCCCCCGTGTCCTGCCAGATCCAGATAGGCAACTTGTTTGATGTGAAATTTTATAAATACACATAGTAAGCCAGTCTATAAAAAAATAAGTATTCCCATAAAGAGACGCCAAACATAGGGAAAGGATGATAGAGAATGTAAGCGCGTTTTGTATTTCCTTTATCGTATGGGTATATAAGCTCTAACCATAAACAATATATATTTGGTTTTTCAAAACCATTAAGAAAAAGTTTTATATGTTAAATCTACGAATTAAATTTGCTGCATCAATTTATTAGTTATGTATTATTTACATAAATAGTGACTATACAATTATTATACTGTTATTATAAGCTATCGAGGAAGTTAACGAACACTAATGTATTTTGTCTCTAAAAACTAATTTCCAAAATGTCTTTACTTTCTTATTCTAAGACTATGTTTTTTGCGATCTCCTTAACTTCCCCACAACATGTTTCCTCAAAAGTTTCGTAAAATATTCCTATAATATTGCTCTACTAGTTGTAACCTACTTAGTTCTTTCTTCTTTTTAATAGTTTAATTTTATTAATGTTTAAATGGCCTTGAGCTAGCTTTTTGTTAAACTAAGAAATTTTACGCCATAATCATGTGATAGTATTCACAACTGTGTTCGTATTACTGGTGTTTTGGCTCCATCCCCCGATGGTCCTTGATATTGGTGTCAACATCCTATAATTTTAGGGTAATATAAAAAGGAGGAATTTTTCAGACACGAGGCGTGTAACACTTAGAGAAAACCCATGGCTCATAGCATCCATGATGTGTTAGGCCGTAATTTACTAATGTTTCAATAGTACTAAGTATTTGATTTTTCATAGTGTAGGTTGTGTTAGTGAGATATTTTATCCAGTGTTAATTGTAAAAAGAAGTGTTTGTGATTTCCATAAAATTGTAAATTGGGTTTTAATTATTGTATAGTTTTTGCATTGTATTTTATTATTTAGACTTGTTTGCTTTTTAGAAGGTTTTAGAATGATTAAAAGTTCTATAAGATTTCGAATCTACGAAGAGTTTGTTGTTGCTAGTAATCTTTTGTATTTTCGTATAATTATTCATCAGTCTGAAGCCATCACAAAAGAATCTGGGTGTTACCTAATATTTTATCAGTTGTAGAGTTACGTAACATAAAGTAAAACTCAACACTTAACACACGACTTCATTAGGTCATCTCAGCAGTAAAATAATTGCATTGACTTCATTCAAATATAAATTATGTAAATAAGTGAATGTCAAACCAACTGAAAACACTATCTCGTGGTTTGCACAATACTCTCTGATGGCGATCGATAGCAAGCTGGAAATCTGCGAAGATGATAAAAAGCGTAATTGTATTTTTAGCTTTTCAGTGCGACGGAGTAAAAAAAAAACCCAGCAACCTCACTGTAATAATAATTTAATAGTAATGTTGGCAATATGGGTGTTAACTAGTTTTGGGCATGTTATAAACAGAGTGAAATATTCTCAGGTGTTTGAAATTGAAAATGTATAACGTTTCCATAGAACATAACAACATCATAGTTATATAGTTGACCAAGTGGCCTTTTACACGTAGAAGTTTTATTGACTTTTCAAGTAAAGATCAATGATAGCTGACATATACATTCTTAATGAAGCTCAAACGTCATATCAATATCAATTTGTAAAAATCGATACTGTTTATATAAAAGACGCTGCCCAGTGAATAGTATAAATTTGATGGAATCAGACATTCTAAAGTGTCTATCAGACTCATGGTATTGGTATATAATAATAATTATTATAACTATACTTTTCTGATATACAACAAAATATTGCATGATAAAACCTTTCTTTTAAAGTACAGCACATTAACGATGGCGGAAAAAGTGTCAATGATGTCGTCACTGGTTTGGCTGTTGTTCCACTACCTCACGACTACGTTGGGAGCTGATACATTATACAACGTTGCTCTTTACAAGCCAGCCTTTCTGTCCACAATGTACAAGGATTGGACTCCAGAAAAAGGAAACGATGGTGATACGACAGTTAATGAACTCGGTGGACAATGTACACAAACCAGTCCTCTAAACAACAGTTGGTGGATGGTGGACCTCTTGGATACTTACATCATCAAGGCAGTTGTTCTGACAAACAGGTGGGTTATACATATTTTACATCTATGTGTAAACAAAAAAGTGGCTATAAATTCGGTGTAGTTCGTTTTTTATTGTATTCGAGTCTTCCCTGTGTGTCTGTTGAATTGTCGCTAAGTGTGTGCTTGTGTGTGCTTGTGTGTGCTTGTGTATTGGCTTACTGTACTGTGACTTGGTTTTGTAGCCGCTTGTTATTAACTATCTGGGTTTATCCGTGGTACCAGAGTCTAGTCTAACTTCTCGCATGTGCTTTCTGGTCATACTGTCCCCAAAGTCGACAAATCATGCCAAAGCGGTCGAGGTCCAAATCTGTCATTACTTACGACCGTCACTAATCTCGTCCTCACCTCGTGGTCGAATTCTGGTCAGCTCAGGATTCTTTATTAGTGAGAACCTGTAGTTCGCGTTCCGATGCTATCTTTGTTAGAGCAAATTAGTGGTCCGGGCAGTCCAGCTTTTCGGCTATTGATTACAGGGATGGCTATCTCGTTCAGCAGCGCGTTTCCGCTTGACCGGTGGGTCGCTATTCAATTGACAGGTCCAATAAAAGTTTTTGACTCAGCCAAAGTGATATAACAGCTAACGTTGTTACATGCATACATGTATATATATATAAATATACATATATATATATATATATATATATATATATATATATATATATATATATATATATATATATATATAGTACATGTGTCTGAAAAACCATTGCTTTGCTCACGGCAGGAACGATTATCTACAATGGGCAGTTAGGTTAAATCATTTCCTGATTGATGTGTTTACCAACGATCCTCGTAAGACATCAACATTTCCCAATGTTCTTGGAAGCATCTGTTACCAACAGACAGAAGCCGTAACAATTGGTACCTTCACGTGGAACTGTAGCAAGCCAGTAGCTGGTCGTTATTTGAGATTAATCAAGTAAGTCAATTGGTTGTTTAATCTAGATATTGTATATTGTAAATGAAAAAAAAACTTGCTATATGTTATATGTGTCTTTTTGTATAACCTGCTGAAATATATGAGATTGCGGAAGTCAATAAAGTGGCTATTAGGCAGCTTTATTTACATATTAGTCGATAAAAGATAATGATCAGTCAATTTCTGCATGATAAGAGCTGCAAAATGTGTTTATATTAGGCTTGAAGACTTGACACAAGGCAATATTGCAGTGGTTTAACAATATTAGTCTACCCAAGAACAAACTACAATGCAGCAGAGCAGATATTTAATATTCGAGTTGTCTCTCCTAGACGAGTGGCTGTCCTCAGCTATCGAGCCTCAACTACCTGGGAGATTTAAACTTGGGACTTGGGACAACGCCAATAAAGACTAAGGAAGCAAATCTTCTTAACTTTCTCGAATATTCTTATATAACACAACGGGGGATGGCAAATCGGGATATAGACATGATTTTAACCAATTTGTACATACTAAAACTTCTTTAAAAGAGATTAGAAACTTGCAGAAAAAAATAGTGCACACAAAATAAACAGCAAATAATGTGTGTATAATAGTGCGGAACATTAGTACTTTATAAATTCATTTGTGTTTTGTTTACGAAATCTAAAATAGCGTAAAATGGTGCTTCCGGTCACCGGAAATTAATAAAAAATGTTACTTAAAAATGTATAAAAAATGTGGATATTTTACGTATTGTGATTTCAATTTTCGGCAGAATTACAATGATTCCTAAATACTTCGTATACCTGAATGTAATAAACCGGGAGTGATCTCCCCTAAATTTTCTCAAATATTGTAATATAACACTACGTGGGATGTCAACTCGGTATATAGACATGATTTTTGTTTACTTAAACTTTTAAAAATAGAATAAAATCTAGTAGAAAAAAAATTGCGCACCAAGCGAGCACCAAAACCAAATGTGCGTAATAGTGCGCAATATTATTAGTACTTTATAAATTTACATGCGTTTTTTAAGAAATCGGAAATAGCGTAAATTAGTACTTCCGGTCAACGGAGGTTACTCAAAATTTGACAGAAGGTAGAGAATTAGATCTTTTACTTACATGTGAAATTTCATTTATCTATCTGAATTAGTACTCAAGTTACAGGCTTTTGAAAAATTCAAGTAGAAAAAGTACTACTTCCCGTTATCGGAAATCGCTCAAAAGTTGATACGGATCTACGATTTTGATATAATACTTATATATGAAATTTCATCAACATAGCTTTAACGGTACTCAAGTAATCGTGTTTACACACAGACACACAGACACACATACACACACACAGACACACAGACATACGGTCAAGATTGCAAAATTATGTTTTTCCGTATCAGTGAGGTGATTACACGATTACAAGACTTTCTCTATACTTCGTATAATCGAGAAAGTAAATAAACCGGGAGTGATCTCCCCTAAACTTTCTCGAATATTCTTATATGAAATAACAGGGGATGGGAACTCGGGTATAAGACATGATTTTTAATCCATTTTAAATACTTAAAAATTTTAAAAATAGAATAACATCTCGTAGAAAAAAGATTGCACACCAAGTGAACGCCAAATAAAAAAGTGCATAATAGTGCGCAATATTATTAGTACTTTAAAAATTTACATTAGTTTTTTAAGAAATCGGAAGTAGCGTAAATTAGTACTTCCGGGCAACGGAAATTACTCTAAATTTGACAGAAGGTTGAGAATTAGATCTTATACTTACATGTGAAATTTAATTAACTATCTGAAATAGTACTCAAGTTATAGGCTTTTGAAAAATTCAAAATAGGAAAAGTACCACTTCCGGTTATCGGAAATCGCTCAAAAGTTGATACGGATCTACGATTTTGATAAAATACTTATATATGAAATTTCATCAACCTAGCTGTAACGGTACTCAAGTTTTCGTGTTTACACACGGACACACACACACACACACACAGACATACGGACAGAATTGCAAAGCCCACTTTTTCAGACTTGATTACACATAAAACCTCTTAATTTTGATAAATCTGGATTGATAATTTTTGCCCGATTAAAATAAGTCCTCTATACTTCGGATGTGATGAAAGACTGAGGTGTATACGGTGAAAATTGTTAAAATTTCAATTGATTTTTGTGCACGATTACAATACTTTCTCTATACTTCGTATATATGAGAAAGTAAAAAGAAAAGCAGGCTGAAATTTAAGTCAGCGGCTTAAAAGGTCTTTATCATATTGATTCATAACACATAATTGTATTGGAGGGAATTGCTATGATTTTGAACACAGAATAAGAATTTGTTTTGAAATTTTCGTTTAATTCAAATCCGCGTATCGTTTAATATAAGCTTTAATGTCTATGTACTCATGGTCGGCTAGAAACGCCCTTAACCTTTACTCAATGGAACGCAAATGTTAGACGATATGTTAATATTAAACATTCTTCAATTCTAACCAACTGTCTTTATCTACAGTTTCAATGTCCATCAGGTTTGCTATTTAAAATAAATCTTTGTATGAGTTTATTTTTGTATTTCAACAGGTATACTGAAGACTCTCTCAACTTTTGTGAGCTACAAGTGTGGGCTACAACACCAACGGAAGCCAGCCCTTTTAAAGTTTACAAAAACAAGAAGCTTGACGTCACGTCTTTGTTTGATCTAACTGTGTCCCGGTCCATGGTGTGTGCTTCTAAATGTCTAGAGAAACGTTACACAGACGGTTGTGCTGCTTTCAACTGGTTCCCTGCTACACGTCTGTGTCAACTGTTGAATGTTGACCCGAGAGATGTCACTGTTGTAACAAAACTTGTCTCAATGTCTGATGTACAGTTCTATATTATAAAGTTTTAGATATAATGTCAGAATGGTGAAGTTAATGTATTGACACTCCAGGTAGTGATATTACTGGTTTGACACGGCGACCTTGACTTTGGTTTAAAAATTTCACGAACCAGATTGTGAAATGCATCATTTAGATCAAGTCTATGCTCTACTATTTCTTTCGTGTTTTCTTTGAAATGTGTACATAATGTTACGTTTTACCGTTTTTAATTAACTAATTTGATCTTTTATCTAATTAAATATTATCTTAAAACTTATCATGGCACATTAGGATTCTGTAGCTTGCTTTTCAGACATAACTTTGACATGAATCACTTCCTTAAAAGCCTTCTTTGCATGCTGCTGCTAATCATATTAAAATACTTGTCCATTGCTAAATCATTAAACTATTAAAGCTTATTTTGACTCTCTGAATATATTATATTCACCAGTGTCACCCCCTGAAAATTTAGTACCCCTAACCCCTAAAACAATTTAAAGTGCACTTTTTGTCGTTTTTATTCAACATATTTTCAATTATTTTTTTTGTGTCGCCTCACAATTTTTGTCATCCGGTGCGGTCCACAACCGCCGCCCCCGCATGGCGACGCCTCTGTTTATAACAATATGGCACGTAATAACACTGTTACACGTTGTCCAGACTATCACTGTCACGCTTGAAGTAATACGTTCGAGAAGACACACTGTTGCTGTGAATTAACTGGTTCGATTCGTTTTCAAATTTTAAATGTTTGTTTCAGTTATTCTTTCTGTCGTAACAGAATCATGCAGGGTATTTTTTGCTCTAGTAAATGAATTATGAGTTCGAGTTTACATTGTACTAACATAAAGAATACGCTTTTATGTTCTGTTTGCTATTGTTGTAACATCTAAGGGTATGTTGGGGCTCCAGCCTACACTTGTCATTGTGTAAAGGTCTAGTTAGTTGTACCTTTCTATTCTAGACAAAAAACATTTTTGTAGTCGATGCCAATCTAATCAAATATTTATTTGTAGCTTATATCATGTTTATCAATACCACACTCGCGCAGCCAATTTAAACAATCAAGAGTTTCAAATAAATGTTTCATTAATCATTATTATTATCTCTTGCTTTTCCGTACATCAATATGTTTTTTTCAAAATCAAATCTATACTTTTTCTTGCAACAAAACTACGAACACCGACTCTGATCTTTGGACCAACATTATTATCAACACTAAACCAACGAGTATAATTTTATACGCTGATAAAAACATCATAAACGTAAAATAAAACCTAACTTCCAAAAGGCATATCCCTCACTTCAAATGTGTTTGTTTTTTCTGCGAAAAAAAAATTATCCTTATGTTATTCTACAAACAGCACAAAGAGTTACAAATTTACAAACAAAGCGAAGCTGTGTCTTAATTATTTTTTAACCTATTTATTTTTTAAAACTATTTATATGAAGAAATCTAGACTGTAAATTACCGTTCATGTAGTTTGATGTTATTTGCTAACCTACTAATAAAGCATGCGTTTTATCTAATGGGGCTTATTTTATGTAATTTAATGTTTAAAATAAATTTAAAAAAAAAAAATAATATATAAAGCCTTGAAGTTATAAATGTAAATTTCTCTTTTCAATCATGATGGTCCATGGGGGTAGTGAAGAAGATTTTACATGTTTCCGTGATTGCGGTTTTAAGGGATAGTGTAATGAGCACTATGCCCAACCGCAGTAAGTCATTAATACGTTGTGTTATAGAATTAAGTGAGGCATACGACGGCTTGACGGGTTCACTGCGACCACCTGCCTACTCACGGCCTATCTAAGTAGAGTTTTAAAACAAACAGCTGTTTTAATTGTATTCTTATTTTGTGATGGTAGCTACAGAACAATACAATAAAAAGAGTACCAATCCAATTACCTACTATTAAATTACTTTTGCTAAAAATGCTAATGTTGATGAAAAATCTTTTTCCCCGGCTCGTTTTAAACATGAATTATCCTCGATGTTTTAGATGCAAGTATTGGCTAAGTGTTATTACTAACCACTGTATAGTTGATGACATATTTGTTTCAGTCACTTGATAGATAAAAACTAAGGATTTACATATCTAATGTATAAACGTATACGTGTTTATCTACCTGATCATGTAGCTTTTAGCGAGTTACTAGCACTAACTGAAGTCATAACGATTAGTCATTAATTAAAGTGGTAGAGAGCTGGACTGCTAACCCGTAAGTCTCGAATTTGAATCCGGGTTCAAGTCAGTTGACCGTCCCTGAGTCATACCAACTCTTATGGGTACCTAACTCACTTGCTCCATTTGAAAGGGAAACTTTACATTTCATTACTTAAAATTCTTAGATACATGGGCAGTAGCTGTTATGTTTATCGTTTTGACATCAGCTTTAACAAGATACAATTAAAAAGGAATTTTTAAAAATATTCTAAAACATTTTAACTAATTCACGAAATTCGAATTTGTCTCACACATGCACTGAAATCCTGCACGTTCGGAAACAAGTTGTCCTGATTTAATCTTAATAGATCTGTCGTCTGCAATGCATACATCTTTCCAAATCTTTACTAACGCTTACTATATATTTTATTTTTCCGGTATTTTAGTGTATATCTACAATGAAATACTACACTTTTAAAATTAGAAGTTTTTCTTTTTAGTCTCTATTATCAATGACTTAATTATTATTGTGCATCATTTTCAGCATTCCATTTTAAATTAAATTTTTTATTCAATACTCAATGACTTATTTCTTTTTTGTGTGTAGACGCCAAATTACACATAACCACAATACTTTACCTGGTAACCTGGATCCACACGTACTAACTGCACATTAATACTAAATATAGTTGTAGATCATACCCTTAAACCTTGCGAGTAAACTTACCCTTCAAAATTTCTCACAGGTATCTCTCGGTTGGTGGGGGTGGGAGGGGTGGGGGTGGGGGTGGGAGTGTGCTGAGCCTCCCTCCCTCCCGAAATATATTAATGTTTTTATAGAAAACATACTTCTACAAGTGTCCGCCCCCCCCCCACCCCTCGGAGAAAAATGTCATTAAAAAAAACATCTGTAGGCTAGAACCGTTTCGTACTTTGTGCCACGAAACCTTAGTCATGCAGACATGGTTTCTTTCAGACTTTTTTTCACCGTGGGGAGTGGACTAACATTTTTGCAGGGGCGGATAAAATTTTCCGGGAAAGGGGATGGGGTGGACCCTGGTAAAATTAATTATTTTCCATTCAAATTATATTTCGTTCTAAAGTAAAGGGAGGGGGCGCTGTAGACATTCATCGGGTGGGGCCGAGGTGGGAGGGGGGTGTGAAGTTACAACAAGCTATACATATTTAGTTTTCTTATCTAAACTTACATTTTAATATGTTTTAAATATAAAGTATATAAGTATACGCTGAAATAAATAGCACCATCTCGAGTCAAAAATATGAAAGCAGCTCTGTTTAGTTTTTAAACTGCTATCATTCATATACGACCCCTCACACACGCTTGCTGCAACAGTTACAATTCTCATATTTGTGTATCAACAAAAATTATTGATGAGACTGTTTTGTTTGTGTATCCCGGACTGTGTTAAGCCTCCACAATAGACGTCTCAATAACACGACCATAGAAACACGTGTGGGCAGCATCCCAGTGGACGATATGGAAAACATTAAACATGAAGCAGACGTTTTCTTTTCAACAGCCATTGCGTCATTAACATTTATTATTAATAGTTTATTTCAAGAGCAAAGATGATATACATATACTTATACATTTATTCGATCATGACTTTTTTCCGCTGAGTGTAATACGATATTACATGGATGTTAGAATCGGGTTTTCAAACACTTATTATTCTTTCTATTTTATAATATGAAGGCGATTCCTTTTGATACAATTAAGTATCGACGCGTTAATCTAGAACAAAGTGCAAGCAGATTTTATTTATATACAGTTTTTATTTTTTTTCCTAGATCTGCAACTTTGCCTAAATGAGTAACCGTTTATACCAAGGGATCCGTCCATTTATACAAAAGGAAGGGCTATCGCTACTAAGTTATTTTGTCTGCAGGTAAAACTTTATTTTGACAATGGCTTGGGATTTGTGTAAATCTATAAACCACTTAATTGTGAAAATTACTATTAGGTATTCTAGCAAGCTTTTGCGAAAATTAAAAAAGAAAATAAGAAGAAATGTATTGACAGAAAAAAATAATCCAGACAATGTATTCATGTGTGACAATATCAATATTTCTGAGGTTGTTCCGTACAGTTTTGTGTGTGAAGCTGGAAGGGCATAGATGGAAATGTTAGTCATAGAAAACAGAAATGTCTCAATGATGAAATGCGGGAGTGCATTACGAAGTTCAAATTTCTGTTCAAGCTAAATCAATAACTTAATTGTCCCTAAGTGGTACGTGTATTTCTGCAACATTAAGTGTATGACGAAATTGTAGAAATTAGGCTAAAATCATTAGCTTTTAGCAATATTATCAACATTAATGAAAACAATAATTTAAACATTACTTTTGCAACAACACATACCATATTAATGCCAACATTTAAGCCAGAATTAATGCCAGCATTAACGACAACATTAATGAAAACATTAACGACAACACTAATGGCAACCTACGTTAAAACATTAGCTACAACATTAATTACAACATTCATTTCATCAACGATTTCAACATAACACTTATTTTCGGCCGCATTTACTTCCCTAATGTGTGTCAGATACCCATCACAGATGTGTGGATCCAGGACGTTCTACTTGCTTAAACTTAAACCTAGGATTTGAAATAGCAAATTTAAAATTTGGTTAAACATATATGTTTTATGGAAAGCTGATAATAATAAAAATAAAAATACATTTAAGAAGTTGACCCTAAAAGGTAGATATCTTATAATTGTTTTAAATTATAAAATAGTTTATTTCTAGATAGAAGGCCGAGCTTTTTGTTGGAATGTTGCATGTGTGATGTACTTTCGCGTTTTATAGAAAGCTAGTCGTTAACAA